CCCCAAAACCCCAAAACCCCAAAACCCCAAAACCCCAAAACCCCGATTTTGGGAAGGGAGGTTGAAGTGAAGGAGGTTTTTAGGAGGTTAGAGGAGGAGGGTTATTTCGACTGTTTGGGGTTTTTGAGGGGGTTTTGGAGGGTTTTGAGGGGTTTTAGGGGAGGTAAGGGAGGTAAGGGCTTTATGGGTGTGTTTTGAGGTTTCTTTGGGTCTTGAGATTTCGGAATTAGGGCATTTTACTTCGTATATTGGCTTAGTGGGGTACTTATTGAGAGCATCGACGTTGAGTTTTTTGTGGGTTTCAGTGTTTATGAGATTAGAACTCTTATTTAACTCTGTCACCTGCCTTATCTTCTTTATTTCTTGAGTAGATTTTGTCTTATCATTTCCTAGGAGACAAATGGAGTTCTCAAAGTCAGTATTCTTCTGTTTATTATAAGTAGTAATCTTTCTTCGTTTTGGTTTATGAGCGTGAATGTTGTTTCTCTTGGACAGAATTTCGTATCGAGGGTTTCTCACAACTCATTTCTTGATAGTTGCCTTCTTAATATTCTTTTTATTCTGAACCGGGTTTTTAGATTTGATATGATGGCTTGTAGACTTCTGATCTGCTAAATTCATTGATTTCGTCGAGATTGGCTTCAGAGAATTCTTCTTGCTAAAAACTTTCTTAGATTTCAGATTTCCAAGTGATCTCTGCACTGGGCTTAGCATATTTGTACTCATAGAAGGGTTTAAACTTTTCCTCTGAACTATGGGGTTCTTTGTTTGATATCTTTTCGAGAACAAGATCTTCTTCTCAAGTAATTCTCTATACATGAGAAAATAGTATACTTTTTAATTTCATTTGGAGTATTCTGAATTTTCTTTTTGCTAGTCAAGTTTGTTCTCGGAAACATCAGGCCTTTGGGAGAGCACTTTTGGTATACCTTAAGGTTCGACTCAACTCTTTTTCCTCCCAATGAGATACTCGTGTTAAGGAACTTAGAAGGTGGCGATATAGCACGTCCAGGAATCATAGGTGAATTTCATTTCTTCCTTGAAATAGTTGTCACTATAAAGTTTTTACTCAATATTACCAGTCTGAGAAAGAATACTCTTCTTTTTATTTGAATGAGTTCCTAGATAATCATGGGTATGACTTACCTATCCTTATTCTTCGAGTTTAGAATTTTCTTAGCCTTTTTAATGTAATTGCTGAGCTTGATATCTGTAAGCTGTGGGCTTCCATGTCTCTCAGATTTCTTATTTACATGTAAAATAAATCTGACTGTTAAGACTCTTGTTCATAAATGAGCTCTGCCTTGGAATAGATAACTTATCTTCCTTGCTTGGTCTATTCTTTCCAGAGCAGTTGCTTGTGTTAAATTTGTTCTTTAAGGACATATCAAGGCTTCTTTTTGTTGACATTTGTAATAGAGAAGTTTTACATTTGCTGTTTGAGATTTCTAATAATAATCAGAATCGATATTTTTATAAGGAAAACTAGCTAAGAATTACTTTTATTTCCGATAGCCTCACTACTATCTTGATAAAACATATGTTTCTTATTTTCTTCACTTTAAAATGGAAGCTTTGGTGACAGCCTCCCCAAAAAATGCATTTGAAGTTGTTTGATGCAAATCAGGACTTTTTCCTTTATTTATTATGTTAAAAAATGGATATCCAAAAATAGGTTGGTGAAAGACTTACAGAGTGATCGTTTTCTTACTCTATCCATACCTAAAATTTTTAACTGATTTTACATACCTGAAGGAGGAGATTGACTCTGTTTGTGATTACTTAGATTATTCCTCTTCTGACTATTACCCTACATTATTACTACCATGCTCTTCCATTACTTACTCTTGATTGAAGTATATCTAGTGCTTCTTCGATACAGAACTCCATTTGTCTTTCACTATATTTTCGATGAATTTTCCATAAACCTTTAGTTCAACACTAACATAAGAGTTTCCATCCTCATGCAGTTATCTTAAAGAACATCTAGATGCTTAAATCCCTACCTGAGGTTGAGTCTGTTCGGTATTTTCATGTAAGAATGGTTTCCAGAGGCATCAGCATTTGCAGACTTTTCTTGTGACATCTTGAATTATATTAATCAATAAAGCATTGCTGACTTGGGGTTTTGGGGTTTTGGGGTTTTGGGG